CGGGTGAGTAAGCAAGATAAAAATGAATAAACAAGAGTGAGAGAACGAGTGAGATGACAGAGCTGCAGAGTACTTATGTAAGCAAACGTGTCTGGTTCATACAAACACCTTACATTGTGTACAAGTTGTCTCCACAGTGGTACAGTAGAAAATAAAGACCAACATTTCCATTCTCATGTAACATCATTTTTAGAAGGAATGATGTTCTGACAACTTATTAATATTACAAATTATTATTATTATTATAATCATAATAAAAAGATTTGCTAAACCCAAATGAATCATGAATAGCTATAGAGGGAAGGCATACAAAAGGAATATTTTTCTACAGTTAAGTAACTGGTGTTTGACTAGAGAAAACCTAATTCTTCTGACACTCCTACAAAACGCTTTGAAACAAATCTCATTTATGTCAATTTTTTATACCGTGGGTGTATCATGTTTATATATTACGTAGCGTATTTATTATACAATTTTGAAAAAATACAGACAGATTAATGGAAATGTCTATATTGACATAATATGCGACATTTAATGCGCCCAAGAGATTATATGGTGTCAAGAGTAGAGAGAGACTAAGTGACTTTTGTATGTACCTGCACACCAGCAGTGTGTAAGTGTATTTAAGTACAGGTACACAATTTTTTTTTTCAACAAGTCAGCCGTCTTCCACCGAGGCAGGGTGACCCAAAAAGAAGAAAAATCCCCAAAAAAGAAAAATACTTTCATCATCATTCAACACTTTGACCTCACTCACACAATCACTGTCTTTTCAGAGACCCAGTTACAACAGTTTAGAAGCATATATAAAGGTATATAACATACCCCTCCAAACTGTCAATATTCCAAATGCCTCCTTTAAAGTGCAGACACTGTACTTCCCATTTCCAGTACTCAAGTCCAGCTATATAAAAATAACCGGTTTCCCTGAATCCCTTCACTAAATATCACCCTGCTCACACTCCAACAGCTTGTCAGGTCCCAAAAACCATTCATCTCCATTCACTCCTATCTAACATGCTCACACATGCTTGCTGGAAGTCCAAGCCCCTCGCCCACAAAACTTCCTTTACCCCCTCCCTCCAACCTTTTCGAGGATGACCCCTACCCCGCCTTCCTTCCCTTACAGATTTATATGCTCTCCAAGTCATTCTACTTTGATCATTTCTCTCTAAATGACTAAACGACCTCAACAACCCTTTTTCAGCCCTCTGACTAATGCTTTTAGTAACTCCACACCTCCTCCTAATTTCCACACTCTGAATTCTCTGCATAATATTTACACCACACAGTGCCCTTAGACACAACATCTCCACTGCCTCCTCGCTGCAGCATTTGCAACCCAAGCTTCACACCCATATAAAAGTGTTGGTACCACTATACTTTCGTACATTCCCTTCTTTGCCTTAATGGATAACGTTTTTTTGTCTCCACAGATACCTCAATGCACCATTCACCTGTTTTCCCTCATCAATTCTATGGTTAACCTCAACCTTCATAAACCCATCTGCTGACAAGTCAACTCCCAAATATCTGAAAACATTCACTTCTTCCATACTCCCTCTCTCCAATGTGATATCCAATTTTTCTTTATCTAAATCATTTGATACCCTCATCACCTTACTCTTATCTATGTTCACTTTCAACTTTCTACCTTTACACGCCCTCCCAAACTCATCCACTAACCTTTGCAACTTTTCCTTAGAATCTCCCATAAGCACAGTATCATCAGCAAAAAGTAACTGTGTCAACTCACATTTTGTATTTGATTCCCCATAATTTATTCCAACCCCTCTCTCCAGCACCCTAGCATTTACTTTTACAACCCCATCTATAAATATATGAAACAACCATGGTGACATTACACATCCCTAAGACCTACTTTTACCGGGAAGTAATCTCCCTCTCTTCTACACACTCTAACCTGAGCCTCACTATCCGCATAAGAACTCTTTACAGCATTTAGTAACTTACTATCTATTCCATATACTTGCTACATCTGCCACATTGCTCCCCTATCCACTATCATATGCCTTTTCTAAATCCATAAATGCAATGAAAACGTCCCTACCTTTATCTAAATACTGCTCACATTTATGCTTCAATGTAAACACTTGATCTACACATCCCCTACCCACTCTAAAGCCTCCTTGCTCATCTGAACCACTACTCTGTCTTACCTCTAATTCTTTCAATAACACCCCTACCATACACTCTTCCTGGTATACTCAGTAAACTTATTCCCCTATAGTTTTTACAATTTCTTTTGTCCCCCTTCCCTTTATATGAAGGAACTATACATGCTCTCTGCCAATCCCTAGGTACCTTCCACCCTTTCATACATTTATTAAACAAAAATACCAACCACTCCAACACTATATCCCCCCTGCTTTTAACATTTCTGTCATGATCTCATCAGTTCCAGCTGCTTTACCCCCTTTCATTCTACGTAATGCTTCACACACCTCCCCCACACTCACATCCTGCTCTTCTTCACTCCTGAAAGATGTTATACCTCCCTGGCCAGTGCACGAAATTACTGCCTCCCTTTCTTCATCAACATTTAAAAGTTCCTCAAAATATTCTCGCCATCTACCCAATACCTCCAGATTTCCCTCCACTAACTCCCCTACTCTGTTTTTAACTGACAAATCCCTTTGTTCCCTAGGCTTTCTTAGCTTGTTTATCTCACTCTAAATTTTTTTCTTATTTTCATCAAAATTTCTTGACAGTGCCTCTCCCACTATCATCTGCTCTCCTTTTGCACTCTCTCACCACTCTCTTCCCCTTTTTTTTACTCTCTATATACTCTGCTCTTCTTATAACACTTCTGATTTGTAAAAACCTCCCATAAGCTACCTTTTTCTCTTTTATCACACCCTTTACTTCATCATTCCACCTATCACTCCTCTTTGCTCCTGCACCCACCCTCCTACAGCCACAAACTTCTGCTCCACATTCTAATACTGCATTTTTCACCTCTCTCTTACTTGTTCCCATTTTCCTTTTGTCCCATTTACCTTTTACTCTAATTGTAGCTACAACTAAATAATGATCCGATATCTCAGTTGCCCCTCTATAAACATGTACATCCTGAAGCGTACCCATCAACCTTTCATCCACCAATACATAATCTAAAACTACTTTCATTATGTGCTATATCATACCTTGCATATAAGTATAATTATCAGAGTATATATAAAATACACAATAACTTTAAAACACTTGAAATTTTGGAAAATTTCCAAACATAAAAGATGTGCTCATAGAAAATGTAAACAAACCAGGTGGGGAATCCCTTATTAGAAAGACTGCTCGCCGTATAACAAGTTTTGGTCATAATTTGAAATCGCCGTATTAGTGGAATGCCATAAAGCAGGGCCCTACTGTATTGTAATAAACAAAATAGAGGAAATCAGCTCTAATATACATTATTTAGATATGCATACTGGTCAGAGAGCCTGTCATAAGTCCGAGTCGTTTGTAAACGAGTAAGTCGCTAAGTGAGAAGTCTGTATAGTGCATGCACTCTGGTGTAGGGAGATTACAGTTTGATTGTCTAACAATGGATTGATGTATGTTTGTGCCATTCTGGAAAGGCGGATAGGTTCTTATTTTATTTATAACGAAGTGTCATAATCATTGGAGTCATAGTGTTAAGATTTTAAAGGAGAAAATGTCTTCTTTAACAGAAAGTGAAATATATACGGTAGGTGTAAAACAGCAGAGTAAAAACAAAAAAGCATGACTAACTCACACTTAAAAGAGGAAACTATAGATGACATTTTTAGTTTATCATTGATAACTGTCAGTTCACAGCTGAGAGAAAAAGCTGAAAAAACCAGACTAAGTGTTAAAAGGTGGAATTACCTGTTTTACGATCCCTTTGAGATGGAATTTAAATCACCCTTTCTTTTATTGTACTACCATATTATTATTACTTCAGTATTATTACTACTTCTACTACCTTCTTTCCCTTTCCTCTTCCTGAACTGTTTTCCAGTCTTCTCTACTTTTTCTTGTTCAACTGTGACTTGATAATGATTGATGATGGAATGAAAAGTTGTCTAATGTTTCCTCTAAATGTGGGTATTTGAGTGTTACTCTGGTAAAAAAAAAAAAAAATTGTAGCTCTTATGTGTATTTATATGATGGTATTTATTACAGGATGACTTGGAGGGTGTATAAATCTTTAGGAGAGTGGGGTAAAGGTCACCAAGGAAGGCAGGGTAGGAGTCACCCTAGGAAAGGCTGGAGGGAGAGGTTTTAAGTTGTTTTGTGCGAAAGGAGCTTGGATATACAGCAGGTGTGTATGAGTGTGTTAGACAGGAGTGGAGGCAAATAGTGTTTGGGATTTGATGACCTGTTAGAGTGTGAGCAAGGCAACATTTGGGAGAGGATTCAGGGAAACTGGTTAGTCAAACTTGAGTCCTGGAGGTAGGAAGTACAGTGAATGCACTGAAGAAGGGGGGTGGGGATATTTGCAGTTTGGAGAAGCATCTGAACTGTAGTATTGGTATGCTTCTGGCAAGAAAGTAATAAAAGTGTATGATGGCAAAAGCATTTCTTCTTTTACAGGTCACCCTACCTCAGTAGGAGACGGCCGGTGTTAAAAAAAAAAAAAATTATCACAGGATTTACTTTAATGGCTTTTAATGGCCTCATAGCTTGGGTAGGCTTTAAGTGTACACACCAACTTACTTTTGTTATAAGCTTAAAAAAGTATCTTAAATGAAGGGGGCCAACTAACCTTATTTATAATTAAAAATTTTACAATATATTATCTGATTAGGTTTGAGGATTTATCTCAAGAGGCCTGATGAATTCAGAAAGATGACTACTGGTGTTTTTACAGATGTTACATATTGCACATCACATGCCCTAATACTCTTTGTTCACGATAATGTGATAATTTCTGCTCCATTTTATGGAACTTGATGCATATATTGTCAGTAATACACTGGTTCCCGGTAAATTGCTTACAATCGCAGGAACTTTACCTGCATAAGTAATACTCTATTTTTTCGGATGGCTATGAGACCCAAGAAGCTGGCCAAGGACCCCACCAACCAGATGTATTCCCATTTCAATGGCTGCAAGAGACAACTTTGTATTACTATCATCTTTGTACTACAGTAATAATGTGGAATTGATGCATACACATAGTGTTTAATATATTAGTTACTAGCTTCTTATCTAGTGGCAGACTTTATTACATGAAAACAGTCAATGCATTAACAAAATAATTGATCTAAAAAAGTTATATCCAAATAAATTAAAACAAAAACTAGACAATACAAATTTAAACTAATTAAAATAGGTTGAAACTGTCTATAAAAAAATAACAAAATTATAAAAAGTCAAACATATCTGCAGATAAAGAGGTACAGTACTCATACTTGCGGTACTTCTAATTCTTCAATTTCAAGAATAAAAATGTCAAGTCTGTCGAGGAAATCAGGGACCATCTTGACCACCATGAGGAGTGCCAGCAACAGATGAGAGAACACACATTTTCTTAGCCGCCCTTTGTTCAGTGCACTATCAAAAGGTAAAGGAAATAAAAGAATAGTGAACAAACATATTTACTTATGGAGTACCCTGGAGCAAGGGTGATACAGAATAATTAAATGTATCATTTTATATGGAATAATAAGTAAATCTATCCTTTAATACAGAATAAATTATTAAATCTATCATTTTGATAAACATAAATGCAAAGCAACTTTCGTATCCTTTAGTAAACAAAACAAATGAGAAGAGAATATATGTAATGTTCAGTAAAGTTAAAAGAATTTGCATATAACTACTATGAAGAAAAATATTTTGAGTATCATTAAGCATTATAATTGTTAAGAGGCCTTTCAGAAAAAAAAAAAAAACCTGCCTTTACTGTTTCAACAATGTTATCTGCATATCAATAGCATTTTGAATCAAAACTGGCTCTCCTTAGTCAAAACATTAATAGTTATTATTGATTTTTTTATAAGATTAAACTGTGTTAAAAGTTGTGTACAGCCTCTCCTCACTTAGGAACATACTCGTTTACCGATGAATAGGGCTTACAACAGGCTCTCTGGCCAGTATGCATACCTAAATAATGTATATATTAGAGCTGATTGCTCTATTCTGTTTATTACAATATGCAGTACACTACTGTGTACACATTTAAAAATATATCACAAATGTTACTAATGGTGCAAAGGTGACATTAAAACAATACCAAAGATGGTTGACACAAACCCACTACCATTATAGTATGCTCCTCACTTAGCACCGAATTCGTTTACCAACATGGTCTTAGGAATGGAACTCCATTGTTAAGTGAGGAGAGGCTGTATTAGAAATAAAAGAAAAACCTAAAAGATTTTATTAAAACACACAAAATCTGCTGAACACAAAGTTAGTCACTGACAAATAATGTAAGGAACACCAGAAATATAAAAGTAAGAAGTAAGGAAAAACTTCAGTCTTGCAGAACATGTAAAATGAGGTATAACAGGGGCTTCAATTTAAGGAGCAGTTAAAGATTGAGACACTTATGCAACATATGGGAATCTTTATTGAGGAAACATTTTGCCATACAGTGGCTTCATCAGTCCAATACAAAGCAGAAAGGTGTAAGGAGAGGAAGAGTATGAGGCAATCAGTCCCTCAGCCTGGAGTCAATGTGTTCAGTCCATCAATCTTGTAGAATGTACTGAACACATCGTCAGGCGAATGTTACTAACCTCCTTACATTCTGTTTAGGACTGATAGCCACTGGTGTGCATTAAGGGACTATCTTTGATTTAAACCTTCATCACATAAGTGCATTAATACAAAAAGTTCTACAAAAGATTACACCATCCTTACATTACCCAATCTTCTTCTTTCTTAACACACGCGCTGAGGGTGGCCCAAGACTTTCCTTATTTTGGACACCTGCTGCTTGTTCTCATGAAGCCACCTGTGTGGTGAAACAATGCTCAAATAAAGATTCCCATAGTGTTGCATAAGTGTCTCATTCTTAATTGTCAATTTCAAAATACCAAGTCATCCATTATAGAAGAGCAGTTACATAGAACAAAAGTTCTTTACAAAAAGATTACACTCTACACAGTTACATATATCCAATTATAATGGTAAATTAGTACAGTAATGTTTGCTGTATATTCCATTCTAGGTCACAATCGCTGGATAACATGTCATAGCTGTCTTTTCCCATTTTGCCACAATGTCGAGCTCCAAATTTGTCCAATTTACAAACCTGAGCATAATAATACTTGTCTAATCCCAGAGAAAGCAGCTAAGATGGAAAATTGTATTTTATATAAGTACACTTAAAAAAAATCAATAAATTTATCCCCTACTCGTGTCATTACAAAACCACTGCAACTATGACTCACCTCACTTGTCCCATGCATGTATCAAGTGCAAACCTTAAGTGTGATATACTCCCACAGCCTGGCCTGTGGCCAGGCTTTTTTGGTGCTTGTCCGGTCAACCAGGATGTTGCTGTTGGTGGCCCACTGACCAACACAATCATCATAACCTGGTTGATCTTGCACTAGGCAGTGGTAGTGATAAAGTTTCCTCAAGATTTCTACACTTGTTCCAACAGTATTTCTAATATCTTCTAGTAGTGCACTATGTTGAATAGTCCAGGCCCATTATGTTGATAGTGTTTTCATATTGTGCCCTTGGCTCCCTCTGCTCTTCACTGGGTTTATTTTACATTTCTTTCCATATCTCAACCATTTGGAAAAGCTTGACTTGTCCAAGTTAAAGGTGCAGATGTGTGCCTATAATGCCTGTATGTATAGCTTATTTTCCTTGAAATCTATTAATAAAGTTATAGGTGGCTTACAATTACTAACATTAATTAGTGTCATGTAAGTAGAACTAGAAAGTGAGTGAGAGAAAGAAAAATAACTTAAATACCAGAGAGGATAATTTAAAAAAAAAAAAAAAAAAATTTGCATAAAGTATAGCTGGAAATGGTAAAGATTTCAATCTTTATGATGAAATTCCTTTGAATTTTTTACAAACAGGCTTTCAAGAAATAATAAATAAATAAAAGTTAATAAATCTTAGGCAAAGACTGGTAGGCTCGTCCCTACAAACTTGTGGTCTTCCATACTCATGGGTTTTGATTACCCAATGTTTCTACTCAAGGAAAACCAGCAAACTGATACAATTATCTAATGTTTCTCTGCTTCAACATTTTTTCCCCCATGCCCATGTACAGTAAACCGTTATATTACACTGATGTATTTGCCACGTTTTGATTATTGCACTACTGAAAAATTGTGGCACAATTTATACAACACTTCGTAAAATTAACTTTACACAGTTCCATTTGTGGGTGCAGAAAAAATTACCTCAGCTCAAGCTGTTGCCTTGTTGTGGGTCAGCGGGGGAGACCTCCCGCCATCCCCTGCCACCCCCAACACTCCCGCCACCACCATCCCAGCCTTCATGAATGTGTGTTCAGTTCCATTCTGTCTTAGGAGCTATCAGTGTTTGTGAACTGTGTTTTGATCTTTTAATTACCATATCTTGTATCTGCCAAGCAATCATGGCACCCAGTAAGCATACCAGTGTTGCTGAAAGTGGCAAGAAAAGGTATAAGTGTTTAAGTCTTAGAGTTAATGAAGAAATAGATACAGTGGTACCCCGAGTTTCATACAGCTCCCCACTCGAACTATTGTGTAAGTGTATTATTGTAGGTGCTTTTGTAAGTGTATTTTTGGGGGTCTGAAATGGACTAATCTAATTTACATTATTCCCCATGGGAACAAATTCGTTCGGTAACGGCACTCGAACAGCTTTCTGGAATGAATTATTGCCGAAACACTTTATTAGACAAGAGATAGCCTGTGGCCATAATGAAGCGTCAATTTGTGCAATTAAAAAGAATGAGGTAAATATATGAGTTTGTGTGATGAATAACTGACTGACTGATTGACTTGAATGATTGATCAACTTGACTGACTGACTTGACTGAGTTCCTGACTTAAAGTTATACTTTTTCACTGAAGAGGACCCTGAAATGGTGTCTAGAGCAGCTGTTGCCTTACCATCAGTTGTATAATGTACTGTGGGGTCAAATAGAACAGAAATCCATTACAGAATTTTTTTTTTTTTTTTTTTATTATCACACTGGCCGATTCCCACCAAGGCAGGGTGGCCCGAAAAAGAAAAACTTTCACCATCATTCACTCCATCACTGTCTTGCCAGAAGGGTGCTTTACACTACAGTTTTTAAACTGCAACATTAACACCCCTCCTTCAGAGTGCAGGCACTGTACTTCCCATCTCCAGGACTCAAGTCCGGCCTGCCGGTTTCCCTGAATCCCTTCATAAATGTTACTTTGCTCACACTCCAACAGCACGTCAAGTATTAAAAACCATTTGTCTCCATTCACTCCTATCAAACACGCTCACGCATGCCTGCTGGAAGTCCAAGCCCCTTGCACACAAAACCTCCTTTACCCCCTCCCTCCAACCCTTCCTAGGCCGACCCCTACCCCGCCTTCCTTCCACTACAGACTGATACACTCTTGAAGTCATTCTGTTTCGCTCCATTCTCTCTACATGTCCGAACCACCTCAACAACCCTTCCAATACAACCATCGACTTCAGTACCAGAACCTCTACCATCCACCTCAGCCCAGTAGGACCACAACATAACTCTCCACTCTCTTCACAATCATCCACAAACACCAGCACCCACAATTTAAGGTAAGAAATGCTATTACAGTCAAACCTCAGTTTTCATATGCCCTAGTTTTCATACGATTCGGTTTTTCTTGAGTTTTTTCATCGAAATATTGTCCCAGTTTTCTTACATCCACTCGAGTTTCATACAGTTGAAAATAGTCTGTACCAAACTTGTCAGCCTGCCCACGTGACTTGGTCACTCATTTCCCGGAATCGAGCACCCACACAAAACATCCGATGCGTTCGTGACTCAATCTGCCTTTGTTTCTTGTTGAGCGAGCATCATCCCGCACATTCATCTGAAACATTTCGCAATAATCCATTGTTTTTTGTGCTTGTTTATTGAGTGTGACTGCTAAGTAAGCCACCATGGGGCCAAAGAAAGTTCTAAGTGCCAGCCCTTTGATAAAGATGGTGAGAAACACGATAGAATTCAAGACAGAACTCGTAGCAAAGTACAAAAGTGGTGTACGAATGGCTGATCTCGCCAACATGCACAGAAAGTCCACATCAACAATCACTTCCATCCTTAACCCTTAAATGGTCCAAACGTATATATACGTTTTTTCAACATCTGAAAGCATGTAAAAAAATGTAGATCTTTTTTGTTTTACATTTGAAAACGTGTAAAAAAACTTTTATCTACTTTTTTTTTTTTTGTTATATTTGAAAATATGTAAAAAAAAGTAGATCTACTTTCGTAGCACTACAAATCTGAACGCCAATCTCTTTGGGCCGTTTAAGGGTTATAGAAACATGTGCAAAGTGGAATGAGTTGCAAAGTTTTGTGGAGAAATATCACACTAACAAAGCTGTTGCAAGCTGTGTCTGCAACA